AAAAACTGTTTTTTGGAGAATTCGACGCCTACTTGTGGCGAATGAACTCAAAACATTATCAAATAACACCTAAACTGCACAACGATTCAGAGATGTGAATCGACCGCTAGTGGCGACGGTTTCGATTTCCACCCATCTACAATGTGTGGATGAAACTCAAGGGCATCAGTAGAGCATCCGATTAATTGGTTTGGCTTGACTTAAAACAGTGTGTGGTAAATTTGCATTACCCTAAGACTACAATCAGAGTGCGTTGCGACCAAGTATGAAAACGAAGTGACGCGTACACGCGAGCCACCTCACCTTACGCAAATACGACGTGCTTTGACACTTTACCCTGCGGCATTGTTCTTGTTGTCCAATGGAAGATCCTTATGCTCACCTTACACGCTCAGCTCAGTTCAGCTAGGCGAGATGCGTATTATGCGGGCCGATGCAAGCCTAGAAAACCCCCTAAGATTCGTGTGGGAAGGCCTGTGGCAGCAGCAGCGTCAGCTGCTGTCAACATCCTGAAGTCAAAAAGTCACCGCTTTTCGTACAGAGCTGCAAATTCTATTGGTTGTGTCGATAAACACATATTAGGTATTGAATGTATATGTGTATATAAAGAAAAAAGACCTAGGCATCGAAGTAAAAAGAATTTTGAAGATAAACTAGACACTCAGATATGCGGACAAACACGCAAACACAATGAAAAAAGAACGATAAATACAATTAACCTCTGGAAAGAGGAAATTAAGAAGCCTACAAGTCCTCTTGAATTCCTACACGAGTTCGTATGTACAGATAGAGTGATGAAACTTCGGCCTTTATTGGAAGTCGATTAATTGTCAAGAAATGCGCTTTGGCGTTGCTCAGGTATACAATCGAGTGAAAAGTAGAAAAAAGTAAAAGAAAACAAAACAAAGTGGATAGGTGAAGGAGGTATAGAGGCAGGGGGGTGAGCTTTGTACAATTTCGTCCTACTACCGTAGAACCAGTGCGGCTTGTCCATATTGCACAGTGGCGGGTTCGTAAGCGCGAGTAATCAGAGTTTGTCTAGCGTAGCAGCTGCACGGACTTCTTCTTCAAGGACCCACATTACCGGCAGTATACTGAAATGCAAAATTGCCGCTTTAAATTGACATTTTCAATGCCACGGTATACTAACCTCCAGCAGTTTTACTAGCAAAAAAATCAGTAGGACAGAGCTTGAAGTCGCAAAATAACCAAAGAAGCGTGCTTGTTGCCTTTGCATGAGATGTTCTCGAAGAAGTAGGTGAATGATCTAGTTTGGTTTTACCTCGTATAAAGGGAAAGAGGGCTCAGCCAAACACAGTGGGTTCAGGACTGGCTCCGTTAGGATGGCCCTTAAATTCTGAGCCATGGACGAAGACGAAAAAGGTCCAACACGTGTTAGTAAGGATGAATGAGCGTCGGAAGGAAAGTAGCCGCGATCATGCATTGTTTTTATCCTCGTGGAAAATGTCTTCGTGCATAAACGAATGTCAACAAAAGGGAATACTGATAAGACCTATTAACCTACTCCCACAAAAAACTCCGAAAATGTCGATGGAATACAAATGACTATGTGAACCCAAATGACGCCGATTATCGCTTAATGAAATGGCATCCACATGATCTACTACAACGGCATTTATCGCGCCTACCGCGACAACTAATGCGGGACGGCTCCACAAAAAGCAATAAAAGTAAACCGAACTCACTTTGCACACAAATCACCTTGCCATTTAACCAGATATTCGGTTTTGCCTTCCCGTGTCAACCTCTGACCAACGAACTGCATAAAAAGGTAAGAAAAGAAACACATAAACTAGAACAAAGGAAAAGCAGTGTGGGCAATTGAGGAAATTGTTTAAAGCAGTTTTCAATCACACCGCCAACATGTTCGAAAAATCGTTTCAGCAGCTAACGCCAATTTAGCATTACGACGTCGACATTTAAGGAATACTACAAACACGAGTTGAAGGATATCGGGCTGAGGGAAGACGGGTGGAATGACCCAAGTCTCTGCGCTAGGCAGACAGCGGAACATGCGCGGTACAGATCGGCGCACATTCACCCCCACGAGTGACTCACTCCACGGTGCCGACAAGCTCGTGAAGCGCGGCCGGGTGGACTTCCTGCGGGTTGTTTCAACGCTATGCAACTGCTTCCAGTGAAAAAAAACCCCAGGTCTTGGGGGTTGGTGTGAAAGAACGAACGACGTGCGCGCACACACGATTACAGCAAATTACTCCGTCACACGTGCACCTAGGTCCGTTTTCAGATCGCTATGGCGATGGTTTGTCTTCACAAATCATGATAAAATAAACATGAGGATCTAGACTAAGTGTTGTATTTAAAGACATAGTAGTACTACAAATTGGTTCATCTCCTTCGGGACGAATTTCCACCTACATCTCAGAAAACAAACCAATGCACACATTGGTTGACATTCCTCAATCAGCAGGCTGGAAAGGACTTGCAGAAAGGTCCTTGTGTGCAGCCCCGACATCTTATAGCGTGACTTCCTTCGGTAATAAAAAATCGCGAACCGCGTCAATGGAATACAAATGATTATGTGAACCTATAAAGACGTTGCTAAGGGGCGTCATAAAAACTGGCTGCCGCGGATGTTGTTATTTTAGTTCAAAGCTTCATTCTGTGAGAAGGGCACACCTCGCACCAACACTTCCCTTTGAATCCTCCTGCATGCAGCCAAGGCGTGGCACTCGTCCTTTTGTATAAGTGGCCTCATTTAGCTTAATAGGATGCAACTGAATTAAGCGCCTAGTCCGAACAGTCATCCCTGCTTTATGACGGTCGATAACAAGAGACTGACACTACGGTGATTCCAAACTGTGCATGACCGTAACAACACGCAACACCGACGTGTTGTCCCCTAATTGCGTTAATTCGCATGACAGCGAATCTAACACTAGCACTCACAACACCCCCCCCCATAGGTCACAACTTTAACCAATATCTAGAAAACCACTAATAATTGAGAGCTTAGACAACATGAGCCGGCGGACGTAACCACACACATTCGACGTGCGACGACACGCAAGAATTCAACAAGAGCGGCCGGTTAGTTGCTGATTGGTCATTGACGGTAAAAGCGAAAGCGCTCGCACACCACCTAAGCAAATTAGCAGCCAAATCAAGAATATGCGTGGCGAATTTTATAACGAAACAGTATAATTTGAGTTTAAGAAAGCCTAAAATTTAATATCTGTTGGCCGTCATTAACACTAGAGCGAACGTTATGCAAAACAACCCAGCAAACATGAAATCGATGTCTTCCTACGAAATGCTTACACTCAAAGACGTAAACTCTAAAAAATCTTCGAAAAAATCTAAAAGCTCAGCACTAAAACAAGAGTAAAATTCTGGACTCCGTGAGGACACAAGGTGATTCAAGACCAACACGAATAGCAGCCAAATCATGACAGGGTAGGCTGATCGGAACAAAAAAGAAATGGGTTGTTGAAATTCGTGTGTGAGAGTATATACTACTCACACACCAAAATGAGGTATTCGAGTGAATTTAAATTTGAGGTCCTAAAATCCAGAACAACTGGGGAACTTGAAGGAATTTACACCATTTTTAGAGTGGAATGAAGGACAGTGAGGAAACTAAAGACATGACAGCGATACTTGAAGACCTGGGTGGACGTGTGTAGAGAACAAAAAGTGTTCCATTTATTCAGGCTAAGTTAAATTAAGCATTTCTCACTAAAAGACATCAGTTGTAGTTGGACACAATCGTCCTCCAAAAATTCCAATTTCAACAGTAATCAGTGATAAAGCAATCCAAAGTACATCAACTTCAGCAAGTGCTGACAGTTAGAAACGGTAAAAGGTATTCGAAGTCAGCTGTTGCGTGCTACATGCACATACAGTTCCGAAATACCTTTTGGTAAATTTATGTACAGTAAGGGCATAGAATATACGTCGTCAAAGTGACCACAGTCGTGCTCAGGTGGAAAAGGTTGAAACTTCGATATCTTTAATATTAGTACAAAGTACGCTGGCAGAGGCACCACGAAACATCCACTGGTTTTAGAATGAATAAAAGAGTGGAGACCGAATGAAATTAACGTCCGGAGCTCAGAATCGAAGCTTCACACGACAGATAGGGGATAACTGATAAAAGGTGGGAAATGATAACAGTGGCTCGAGAAAGGTAAACGATCAGTGACGTCGAGCAACTGACCTCTAACCACAGTCGTGAAGAGCAACCTCTACCGGATTGTCACAGTACGCAAGAGTTTTATTACAAATACATTCAACACATGAGGCACATAGAACAACAAGGCCAGCCTTCACTTCCGAAACAAAGTTCCAACAGTTAAGCTAGTCTCGGGCATTAAGTAACAGAATTTAATGGTGAGGCAGATATATATTAACAGGATCATGATAAAAGTTAAAGGTAGAAATTGTAAACCTTACACTGTGAGGCACCGTAAGCAGAAGTTTGACCCTGTAACTTTCAGGTTTACTTGGTAGAGGTTGAGATCGAGACAGCAAATCGGGACAATCGTCTGCCGAAACAGTCACCCCTGATCGCAAAATTCGCCTGCTAGACGAAAAATCATCTGCATTTTCGTCTTTGATTGGTCCCGGCAGGGCCACATGACCAGATAGATTGTCGTCAACTTGATTGGGGGAGGCGCTCGGTTGAATGAGTTTTTCGATGGCAGACTCAGCGAGAATCTTGTCCAATATTAGCCGATTCTTTATGATAATTTTTGATCGGAAATCGTAAAAGTCGGCGCGCCTAACTATAAATGAAGTGCGGGTGATTAAGGGTTCTTGCGTCTACGATAGAAGAGGAAACCTCACTGTTTACCATTGATGGGTGGTGCACATTTGGGCAAAACTAACAGTAAACAAAATTATTACGAACAACTTCGAATTTCATACTGTCCAAATCAACGGAATTTTGAATGCATCGTTTCTTAATACGGAAACAGCAACATAGTCCACCAAATTGAGACGAGTAAAAAACGTAACTAACGACTTATGCCATTAGTCATACACAAAAGGAAAGTCAATACTTTAAAAAAGCGAGATATTTTATCGAAGGAAGGAAGCACAAGAACAAATGATGCTCGTATGCAGATAGATTTCACATAGTGTGGGAGTTGTGAGCGGTAACGAACACAAATAGCCACAAAACCCCATAAAATAGCGGCTAAAGTAACCACGAATAGGCATTCATCGGCTTGGGATATGCGCCTAATCAATAACATCGGGAAAAAACATAATATAGGAATGCTTTGAATAGGAAAATACTTACCTCGGAAATACCGCAATTTTTTCTTTCTTTTCGCTACCCGTCGGGAACAATTTTTGACACTTACTGGATTCCTATTGCCACAAATAGTTTTTTCAAGCATTATTGGTAAAGAGCCAGACCTCTTAGTGGACGCGCCTCCGCATAAAGCATCAGGGTTTACGTGATGACGATCAATGTGCCGTTCAAGTAAATTCGAGGAGGAAAATCGCTGAAAACAACCATCAAAAATACACGAGAACGGTTTGCCTTTAGCCTCTGAATGCTGCTGAACATGTCGTGATAGCCAGTTTGATGAAACACTGGGACGTCCATAGACTTTACAGCCACTCCACCAACAAGTATAACGGGACTTCTTCGAAATTTGCGGAAAAACATGCACGTCCTGTATGTGGGAAAGCAGTCCACTAGTCCCCACTTCAACCCCAGTATCACAGCCAGCCCACTGACAGAACTTCGGATATTGTGTATGATCAGTAGAAGAAGAGGAAACGATGGAAGGAGCCCGCGAAAATGCAGGCTGAGGTGATTCACACTTTTTAGGTTCCTTCAGAAGCAAATCACTCGAATGATTCCTTGACTCGGTGTCATCTGAGTTTTCTTGGCAAGTCGTAACAGACAAAACTACCGGAATGCTACCATTAGAATCCTAAAAGAACTATATAATGGAAGCGCATTACCATATTATCGGTGAACGATGGCACTCCACGACATCCATCATTTGTAGCCTTTCTTGAAATAATTCTAATTTTATCTCGCTAAAAGTAGCACGACATTACCTTGAGGATGTTCGGGAAATTGTCCTTAATGGTGCACGAACGGATGGTGACATCTTAAATGATGAATGACAAAATTTACAATGGATGTGAAGACAGATAATAGTAATTCTACGAAAAATGTGTCCTAAATTAAGGAAGAAAGCCGATCAGGACACCACCGGCGAGAGCCAGTCACAAACTTGACGAAAACCTAACCATTTCAAAAAGGGGTGCTTCCTTGATACATTTAAACATCCTTTAGATATACTGTTAAGAATCGCGAAAGTAAGATTTTAGACGCATCTTTTCAGTGATAAAATTCTTATAAGATTAAACTTAAAATTCAGTTTGTTTGACCTTATTATGATACAGTTGCTTGTGACGACCCTGATAGTTTAATTCCCTTCTCGGGAATATAAGTAGCGTAATTGTTTGGTCCTTGTGGATAATGAGACCATACCATTACAATTGCAGCCCACGAATAAAATACAACATTTCAAGCTGCTACATCACTGTTAGGCAGCTCGATTCGTGACGCTATTTCTTATTCGCTCTAAGCGAACTAAAGTCTTTGTAAACTTGGAAAACATTTAAATTTACTTTTAATCCTTGCAAGGTTCGTTGTATTACAAATAAAAAAACTTGCATTCACAAAGAAAACAAGGGAACAAAGAGTTGGAATGGAGCCCCGTAATGTTAATGGAACCGTTAAGGTACATAGGAAATATAAAACGATTAATTAACACCGTGGAAATCGTTTATTATTATTACCAGCATGTTTTTGCTTCTGACTGCTGATGTATTGAGTATAAACTACACTATTTCATCATTATCTCAAAGTTTACTCTTTTCCCACGATCAAATGCTCCTAGATCCATCTGTAACAGCCTGTGTCACAGTTGTGAGAGAACAGTAAAAACAAAGGGACATTAGGAAAAATGGCTAAAAATTGCGAAATTCGTTTACAAACAACATCGTGTGTATTCAAAAGCCACAGATAAACAAGACGGTGTTATTAGGCAGGGTACAAGGCCAGACGTGCCCGCCAAGTAAAAAGGGATAAATAAGCGTGATATTTAAAAAAAATCAATAAAATTTATGGGTTTAAAAGCTGCGTTGGCATATTTAATACATTTGATAAAACTCGATTAAAAACGTGCAGTTTCTTCTGATAAGAGTGAGTTTGAACTCCTGGAGCGTGCAATGCTGACTCCAGCATAATTTTTGTAATTTGTTAACATAAATGTGTACAGATTTTAAACTAATGATAAAAGAATGCAACAATCAATTTTCTGCCAGATTATAGGATACATAAAGCTCAACGTTATTTCAGCGTTCATTGGCAGCATAATACTTGCGACAAATGTTTATCGTATTGGCAACATCAAAGCCATAAATTTAACATTTCGCTTTTTGATTTACATATCTGAAAAGAGCAGCTTGTTATAATTTTATTAGTGTGTTATAAGTGATTGGTGCAGGTGCCGCTAATTATAGTTTTGTGAACTTCTATTCATTGTCAGATTTCTTTGGGATTTTTGGCAGTACGTTCGACATTTTTGGTTACTCTTAAGTTCACATAATTAACTTATTAGGTTTAAGAAGATCGCAAGGGAAAAGTACTCAAAGTAATTTGTAATATTGTCCGCTGTACCCATGAAATCGTTTTCTTACTTTTTTGCATATTCCTGTTAGCAGCATAAGCTCGACTGATAAAACGAAACCACAGTTCTTTTTTAAATTCCATGCAGTTCTTTAATTTTTTTGCATAATAGTGACAGGTGATGACTAAAATTGTTCTCTACTTCGATGTTAGTTTTTTGCTTTCCTACTGTAATTTTGTGGGTTTTCCTTGCTATACATCTAATTAATATCATATTGTAGTGATTTCAATTCATTTTCGTTCTGATCTTTACCTTTACATCGGAACTTAGCAGCTCATCACCTGACAATCATCGCTCACTTCTTACGTCACTAGTTTCAGAACACATTTGCATGTATATTTATAAAGGGGGCACGGTATTATAATGGTCGCTAATGTTCTGAGAGTTTAAAGGTGGATAAAGTTCCAGGTACTACTAAAAGTTTTTGCATATTGTTAATAATTTATGTGTTATGAAATGTGCCTAGTGATGTACAATAATCTCATTCTGGTGTTTTTGGAGTAAAGTGTTCCTCCACTGAATGTTTTAGTTATGCAAATGAACACCTCTATTATTGTTTAGCCGCTTCCGCCAATTTTTCCTCTACTGCTTAGGATGGTCAAAATATTTGTTTATCAACTGCATTGTCATCATCGTGTGCGTTGAACCTTCACAATGAACCCCCATATTCATGAGTTCTTCTGGTTTGTGCTTCGGGTGTTTGGTTTAACCCCACGCAGTCGGTGGCTTGTCTCACCTTGGTTTTGACCAATTTTTCTAAGCTTGAATAGTGGTTGACGGCCGTCACTTCTAGCTACAATAAACGAATCAGTTACCGTCCGTCTATTCCCAAAGTTCCCCTTCAGTATACCTGGGATATGCAGCTTAATCCCATCAATTTACTTCGAACTTCCACTCCTGTATGCCCCACGTGTTCTTTTTGACTTCCTGCAACATGAACATGCAAATTTAGTCTTCTTGACTATTTCAACTGCACGAATTTTCTTGCATTTCATTTCTTCTTTTAGATGACTCCCATTCCCACGATTTACTCCACTGATGTACGTTTTTGTGAGATGTGTCTTGTTGTTCTACTAATTGAAGATACTTAGCGACTTTATCATTATTTTGTATTTGTCGACTGGTGAATTTGAATTGTCCTATTTCATCTTACTCCAAAACTTGGAATTTAGGTCCGAATGCACTTCATGATATTATTTACACGTAATATTGTAGGTCTCAAATTCCAGACAGACGTCAGCTGTTCCCGTTATTGATTTTGTTGTTGAGTGTACGATACGGCACATGGAAGCTCACGCTGGTCAGCTGTTACCCATATTGGCGTTACTATTCTGTGTCCATGCGGCTTGAGGGTGCTATTAGGGGTCTATTACGCCGTTTTCCTGATTTCCAGGTTCTCACCACGCCCGAATCCTTTCAGGTTCGGCGCCCCAACAACCTGAACGAATTCACCATGCAGTCACGTCTCATGACAGAAGAGGAAGCAAAGGTTGGAAAGCGCTCCGAGTGGTTTCGCGTTAACCTTACTGGTAAATTCTGTTGCCAATGTTCTACTGTTGTGAAAGTACTTTTACGCGGGCATACTTTAAAGTTGCTCCGGTTTCTAATAATTATCCACAAAATGCCTTCCCCTATCCTATTCTTTTTTGAAACGATTGCATGGTTACCTTCATACCTTCAATTTTTATATTTCAATCGATCGTTGCCCTTGCGAATCCCATGGCTCGGCATGCAAGGGATGCAAATCAAGTGTTCGTGCTTCCGCCCAAATGCACTTTTGAAACCATCCATCCTGTTTACCAGTTCTGGGTTTTAAGGGACAAGTGGGGGCGGCCACCTATGTGCTAGCCTTGTTCGATGTAATTACCAGACGGGATAAGTCACCGTATTGGCCTGAATTTCACATGGCGGGTAGATTTAAGTTTCATGAAATCTCCGGTCAAATTTATGATTGTTGGCGCTGTTTAACTATGTCATTTTGAAGAATTCCCTCTTAATAGTTTTGTCTGAAGACCATGCAGCTTAACAATCAGATATTTGCGTCAGTTGTTACGTTGCATTTTACGAGTCTCCGTCTGACGTTCCTTCCAAGAGGAAAACACCTGGTCCGGTAATCAAGGTGTTGGTCAAATCTCACGTCCAAGCCTATTTCCCTAAATTAGTCTGTATTATTTTTGTTCCATGACTTCATGCGTCTGCTTTTCGTGATTTGATGTGATTTTCTGTCATGAGCAGCCATTTACAATTCACTCGACCTTAATGCTTCAGTTCATTTTCTCTTAGCCGACTCCTCCTCTTTTTATGCGCATGTATTAACAGTTTTTAACGGATTTACAAATTAACTTGTATTCTACAGATCAAGTGTTAAGAGCACGTTATCTTTTGCACAAATGTTGACATTACTTCCTCCTTCCTACTCATTGTAGGTTCCTTGGATAGGGTTGGAACCGTTACTTTGTACCATTGTTAGATTGTCTACTTTGGTTCTTACCATGTGATTTGAGCGATACTTTTGCTTCCAGAGACATTTCCGGCCATGTTTTCGCATACACTGCTTCCGCTTCGATAGAGCGTATCGTTGTCGAAATGCTAAAGTTAAGAGCATAAGCCGTAATTGTTGTTAAGTAAAAAACAATACTTAACAAAAGTATGCATGATTGGGAATCAACTCCCACCCTTTTTACGAGGTATCAAAATGTTGACAATTGAACCCTCTTGTTTGATGAGTGCGCGTGTAAAATGCAAACTTGAATATCCTGTTTGACCACCACAGGAATCGGCTTGCATTACTTCGCGAAAATTCCTTATCGGAATAGTTAAATGTAACTAAAATTTGCGTCAGTAATTTGCGGTTAGAGCGATGTTGTTTACCAAGTTGCTTCACCCTATGGGGCGTATCGCTCAGTCTTTTTACTGCACCGTCATTAAATTTCATCCTGCAAATTCGCGTATTGCTTTGAAACCCTCGTGATTAATACCCGCGCTGGGTGTAAATGTTTGATTTTCAAAGATATGCTTCTTAATTTTAGCAACGTTTTAGCCGTTGTAGCTATCGTATTTGAAAATGTCATAACGCGTTTCCTTGTACTTACATTTGCGGTGTGGTCAAAGGCCGTCTCGTACACCAACGACAGTTTGATGTCTTTAAATATGGCCTTGTCTGTCAGTACTACATCTCCTCACATAACAGTCTGCGAATTCGCGAACCTTGGGCACTTTTTAAGATTTCCTTTCCGATCAGTTCCCTTGTAAACTGTCGTATATAATTCCTATGCCTTGTGTGAATATCAGGCTCTTGCATTAAGGTATTTTCATTTTTGTCCCCCTTCCCCAGCGACCGCAGGAGATCCTTAAACTTCTAAAAAATCGAAAATGATTCAACAGACCTTTTCACAAATCCTACTTGTCTAGAGTTTGCCGTTTGCTTTTTAAAAATGTGTATTTATGTGCTTTGAGGGATGTTGTCGTGGGTCCATTTTGCCATCCAGAAGCCAAAATAAAGTATCAATGTCAAAATCCTGTAGGTAGAAATGGTTAAGTGTCACCATGGTAAATTAGAATTCCAACTCAAGTCTATGTCATTTGTGGTTTAGCCTAACGCCTTCCGTAAATATTCACCTGCGCCCATATTTATCACGTGGTCTAGGTGTTTCATTTGCAGCACGTCAAAACTTGGTATTCTGGATTATGTACTTATACCAGTTTGAATCTCTCTGGGTTTTCTGTTAGTGTAATTGAAGGAAAAGTGAGTGGAGTGATATTAGGTCTGAAGAAAGAATGGCGAATACTTTTCTGGTGGAAATCGCACAAGAAAGGCCCCATAATTCGTGGTGATTTGAACTAAACTCTACAAGAGTGGCTTCCCACACCACCTTCTTTTACCCAAATTGCCGTCACGGTAGCTTTTGGTGAATGTTTGCTCCTAGTTGAGTGGACCAAATAATTTCCCCGGCTTCTACGCAAGCGCCGCGTCCATAGCCTCCCAAGGTGGTCTTTGTCGTCATTGGGCAGAGCGCGCCGATAAATCCAGTCGAACGCTGCTCAGATGTTCGGCCCCATAAAAGGCACATCAACCCTCCGACGTTGGCAACCTTGCACATCGTTTCGGTCCCATATGGCTCTGAGCTTACACAGGCCTCGAATTTCCTACCATACGGCACATGCTGAGTCATGTGGCGTTAAGCGCCCCTTATCGCTGGCTGTCTGACATCAACGCTAAAACATTCAATCCATTCATTAACGTCTACTCTGTGCAAAGAAGCTCTAGCATAAGTCTTTCTCATGGGGCTTAAGGTAGCTGTTCGCAAAAGCATTCAATACCGCGCAGATACCACGTTCTGTTAGTACCTAAGTCGGATTAAATTATTAATTTTTACTTACCAAGTTATTTTATTCGGTGTATCCTTGCCCGGCCACTCTTGGGAGTCGTGGGCGTTATTTGCACCTTTTCATCCACACTCAGCTAACTATCCCGACGTACTTTTGCTTTAATAAAAGGGCAGTTCTCATCCTTATCGTAAACTTGTAGCCTTTTTTATCGTTAAGGAAAAGCGGTGCTTACTTCTAAGTTCAAATTCCGATGATTTGTTCGATTCGTAGAAATCAGCCTTTACCTCAGAAACTAGTCGTCCTTGGCTGATGGGCACTGACTTATCTGTTTATAGTTAAGCGTTAGTCAAAATCTTAACATTACCACGCTTATTCCATTTTAATCCGTCTTAGTAAAACTGTGCCAGTGTCAGATAAGTTTAACACCAACCTGGCCTCACTTTTAGAGGCTTTATGGTGTTTATTTCGTGTCTTCGGTTAATCTTTCCCTATGTGGAAGTTAGCAGGGTAACAATGCCAAGTGCGTCTCAGTTGTTTTACAAGCCAAAAATGGGACAAGGTGAGGGCTAAGTTTGCCCATTTTATCTTGTACCAATTAGAATATAACTGTCTTACAAGAAGCTGCATGTGAAATTAAACCTGTCCGTTCTCAAGTACCCGAGTTTCCCATTTCTTGATTCAAGTCCAAATGAAGGCCGGTGGCAGGAGTAGAAATCCCCCATTGCCAAACTAAATCGGTATTGCACACTCGTGGAATTTATTTTTGCGTTTCACAGTTGCGGGCTACTTGATTAGTTTATGCAAATTAAAAGTGACGTTAGGCGATGGGCGTTTCTCTGCGTAAAATCCAATGCACACCTACACTTGGTTTATTTAAAGTACGCCCGTAACCCTCAAAAATACCTACCCATTTGTTCACAACCATTTGAAGACTGTGAGAAGTGATTGTTTCCTTTCATCAGGGCAGTGTGCTGTAGCAAGCTTGGTTTGCAAGTCGTGCTTCTCTTTATAGTGGTTAACTCGACTATTTCTAAAAGTTACATGTGAGCTAATGCGATTACTTATCTCTGTACTAGTTACTCCACGAATTGCCTACTCTGAGGTCACTCAGTTAAGCACGTACACTGTGCTGTTAGATCTACACCAAAGTATTTCAGGTTATGTGTGGCAGTTTCTTTCGCGGGGGTGTCTCCTTAAATTTCATTATTTTTTTGCAAGAATTTGGTTGCGACTATAATTTGATCATTTTCCACAACATTAGAAAAGTATCCAATTGCTGTCGGTTTTCGCAACGGACAATAGCACAAGCAAATCCTCGTCCGTGCGATTTCCTTTGACTGTATTCGTTTTTCGGTGAATTGAACTTAAAGTCTTTCTGAGGGAGTAGTCGTTGTTGCTTCGATCACGACTTCATGGGTGTGTTTGGTGTGGGTTCTTTCTCTTGTGTTTCATCCAAGTCACCCACTTAAGAATGTCATTAACCAAATATTCCACTGCATAGCAACTCCCTGCGAAGAAGTAAGCGTATATTGCTTGGGCATCGGGAACTTATCTGCCAACGTTTCGTAGTTAAGTGCTCGAAGTTGAGGCTTCTGCATAGCAACGTGTTAAAGAAACAGCAGAATCGGGACTTGGTTCCGTTGGTTATTGTTGGTGTCGCGTAGGAATTGTTTCACTCAAACTGTGACCTTGTCTTTCAAATTGAGAAAAAACTTAAGTCGGTTTTCGTAATACGTCAAACAAACTAGTTTTTTTAACCAGTCACCGATCCGAAGTCCCTTTGCAAAACACGCATCGCGTCCTACAATTGCTTTACCTGTAACTTTATGTTTGCAAAAGTATCCATGCTATAAGTTAGTCCAAATATTTAGCACAAATAGGTAAAGCGGTGAAACACGGCATTTTCTTTGGGAGATATTTTCTGTCATCAGGGAGTGATCTTAACTTATGACACAGTCGTGTCAACTTAGATGTGTATTCGTTTTCGTCAAATTTCTGATCGTTAAAAACGTAACCTAACCCGTGGTTGACCTTTAAGGTTTTGCCACCTTATATGGCGAAGAATCTGGTTCAAAGCTGTACAGTCTCCAATATCTTGTACGCTTAATCTCGTATTTACTTAGGACAACAAATGTTGGCTTGCACTGCCTCTCAAGGTGTGTGCTGAGCCCATGCGAGTTATGCGTTGGAAATCTCCGGTTTCCTTGACCTTTCTGGCTCCACACGAACCATGACAGTCTGCCACATTGGCCGCCCGTGCATCTGCATGGCCCAGAGTATTTATTCACTTGTTTAACGTTTTTTGCGTTTACTTTAGTTCTATGTCTGTTGATCTGTCGCAGGTCCAGTGAAGAATTTTCCGCGAAATCTCTGTTACCTAACGTACATAACGACATTGGTAATCAAGAACAACCACCTAGAGCGTCTGCCCCCGGAGCTCGGGAACTTGGTGAACCTGGTTAACCTGGACGCGAGTCACAATCGACTGAGAGTTCTGCCGCCCACTCTTGGTGACCTCACCGATCTCCGGGCCCTCATTCTCAACGATAACCAGATCTCTGACCTTCCCCTCGAAATCGGACGTCTCCTAAATCTCCGACACTTTAGTGAGTTACTTCCTCTTCTGCTAGCCTTTCACTTTTAATGGCACCATATTTCTTCGGACAGACGAAATTGGTTTCGGAGTAAACGTTAGGTTCTATTTATTCCCTCTACTTGTTGCCTTTCTAGCTCACGTTTCCGACCACTAATCTGTCTGATTGAAGTAGTTGTGATTTTCGTCCATGAGCTATGTTTTGTTTCAGCAAACATCTTTCCCCTTAGCATTTGCGATGTTTTATGAAGCTAGATTCCAACAGTAATGATAAAAGACAACCAACGACATGCCTATTTCTTGTTTGTTTAGGGGAATTTGAGTGGATGTTTAGTGTTTGGAGTTGTGGTTGAAAGCAAACGTCAGTGTGAATATTGACGAAAATGTTGAATTATTTAAACTTGAGAGCTGCCAGTCGTTATTTCTCTCGTTAAGTCTCCTTAAAAAAGCCACGCGCTTGCTTTTATGTGGTGCAAGCATATGCTGTGTCGTGATGTCCAGATTTGATGTAAAAACAACTAGAAACGGGTCATTCGGTTTCACCAAGCCCTCGTTTATCGGAGTTTGCACGTGACAATTCTTGTTACCTCATTTGCGCTCGTGATGACCTTTGCTTACCGCGAAATCATTGTCTCGATCGCTTCATTCACCGACCAAATAACCTTGTTCCATGTCGCCGTGGTACGCCTCGGTGTTTAGGCGCTACATTACCCTTTTCACTAGTAAAGAGGCCTACTCGTGTCACTTTAAATGTTTATTTTACTAACTGATGGAATTTACGAAAATCAATTCACTGATTTAATGTTGAGACGAGTGATGCTCCGTGTGGGAGTGTTAAACAGAAGATTGTCGTTAATTAAATTTCATCGATTTTTCATCGTTAATTGGGGTTCCTTTGACTTCATTTCTGTTTTTCCGTTTCTGTGAGGCTAACATGAACTTATCTAAGACAGCCAGTATTCTAAACTGACTGTCTTAGAGCCTCGAGTGGGCTCGCTAACACTAGGACTCCGTCTCCAATCGATGCGCGAACGCGGAGAGTGCTGGAATGACCTCGGTCCTCGTTAATTACCCCCGTTGCCTGCACACGTTCTCGTTTATTTTTATAGCGCTAACGCATCTGCGTGCCCTCTCACGTACACACATGTGCATAAACTTCCTCGAATAACCAATTCAATCTAAGTGCGTGTTTGTGTGTTCGTTCAAGTGATTTGAATGCTTTCAGTTATGTGCAGTTGCTATCCCGTGTTACGTTGCCCCTGTACCAATGCGAATGCTCCTCACCCCCTTAGGCCCACATTACTAGCACAGGGCTATATATTTAGGACCCACTGAAAGAGATGTCGGAGGCAGTATAGACTTGTCGTTTGTTCAGCCACCAACCAAGTCAAGTCGAGGTGAGTTGCTGTCTGGAGCAAAGTTCTGTTCATGCGGTGTTGAACTGAAATCCGATTTTCGCGATTTGGAGCTACTCACTCACGACTACTCAGAGCATTCCCGAATCGATCTGGTAACACCGCGTGCAAGGCAGACCGGCGAAGTTATTAATTACTAGAAACCTTGTTATGGGGAGTGCTGGCATCCTTAAAAACATCATTACTAGCTTTTCATTCATGGCACAACTTGAACAACATACAGTATATATAAAAAAAAAAACATAATTTAGGTGCAAATAGATTTGTTTTCGTAGCCTGGCTTAAGGGAAATTCAAAGTTTCGGGATTTTTTTCATCCTTGTATCTACTTAAATATTGACGTTTTTGTGTACTCGCTTCTATGCGCATATGCATATTAATTTGGTTAACGCGAGAGTTTTAATTATGATCTAGATTTTGTTGCGCCATAGGTTTGCAAACGACCTGTATTTGTTGCAAAACGAAACGCGAACATTCGCTTAACCTAACCAGCTAAAATGACAAGCTCAGTCTTGTCGCGTCATGCGTGCTTAAACCTCGTTAGGGTGTAGTGGAAAACACTTGAATGTGGCTGTGTACACTTTTGTCTGACCTTGTCGTATATACCTGTGAGACAATTGGTGATTACTTCTTCGCTATGTGTGACTTCTCCATGAGTCTGGGATTTCAGCTACTGTTTTGGCAGTTCAGCATTCTACTGACTCGTCATCTCAGTTATCAGCAAATACAGTGCTTTCACTGGATGTCCACCTTCGAGGCCCTTTCTAGGCCATTGTCTACTTCGAGGTTGCTAGTGATGGGATTCGGCAGCGCCTTGTTCATTGGGCAAAAGCCAATTGTTTTAATTCGGTCTTCCCTCATTTTTCAATCATTTCACCATTCTTGTGACTGGTGCATCATTCTTAAAACACGGTGCCAATAAGTGCTTCGAGGACAGGCCAAGCCGACTAATTTCCGATGACTAAAATTACGGTCACATCCTTTTGTACGAGATGCTTACCGTTTGCTCCGGATTTGTCTAGTGAAAAAATTACTTACTGGGCTGACAAGGAGGTTGTTTCGCTTTTGACAGATTTTTTTATTTTGAAATTTGAAAAGGGACACTTTTGGTTCAATTTGGAAGCAAGTCGAGGTAGGTTTGGGGTTTGTTTCAACATAAAATAAAATGACGAACATTTTCAACACATTTTTCTCTCTTATTTTTGTATTAGACTTGAACGCTGTGTAGGTTCGCAAAAACTAAATTTTATTGTGTAGATTTTTTCTCACGGGTGACCAACCTTCTGGTTGATTATCAAATAAACCCAAGAATCGATTGCATTGTAGTCATGTAAATGTGAGATAGATTGTCAAGGGTTTAAATGTACCGCGTACACAACAGCTGAAAATCACATGAATGTCTTGAAGTCGTTAACGTGACTCAATAGTTGGATTTTGCATTAGGTAGAAGGAATTTGCAAGTCCAAGTTGATTTCATGCTTCTCAAATCCAATGAAACCGTCCGTTTTGCCTCGCAACGAATCCGTCTACAATAACAATGCAGAGAAATCGCATTCTGGCAAGTTAATGCAAGGCCCGACACAGCCGTTAGTTGCTCGTCAAAAAGTATTGCACGTGGTGGTGCCGTTCTTGCAATGTAGCTCTTTGAATGGCAACACTTTCACTAGTGATGATGCCCTGAAGCCGCACTTGGCTCAAATTGTTGTCGCTGGTGCTGACCAAAGCTATGGGCGCGTAGTCATAAGGTTAGTGGACAGTTGACAAAGGTCATTGGATGGTTTTGGAAACTGTGCTATTGATCAAAGTTCATTATCAGTATAAATCGTAGTTCACTCCGCATTGCCAAACTGGAACGATTTGTTTGCCCACACAATATTTTCAAGTCAAGGCAAATTTCTGTTTCCGGGAGTACCAAAAATCCATCGAGCCCTATCTTCTTCGTTGTCTTGAAGTTCGCTACTGGGTTCGCCTATTGTGGAGTGGTACCTTCAGTGTATTCTCAATTGATTATCGTTATGACCTCGATCTTAGCTAGCATCGGCCACCGTTTATTTTCTAAACGTAGCGCAACAGGCAAACTCCGAGGGGTATAAGGTGATCTCGCCCACATGGCATTCCATTCCACACCTTTCGGAGCTATCCGTCAATGCAATATTGATTTGTCTCAAAACTATGCCAAACACATTTTAGATGTGCATTGGGGTGTGTGTGTGTGTGTGGAACTGTTCGCAGCGGATCGTTGTTTACCTTAAAACCGTTCACGAATCAAGAAAATTCTAGGAATCAGCGGAGAGCAATGTTTACGCAAAGGTGCCTGTGTTTTGTAATCCCAGACTCTATATTTGTTGAGAATTCCCCACACGAAGTGTTAACTTCGGTGGCACCTGTTTTCGTGTTGGGCATTATGCTTGTGCACCTCGCCCACAACTTTTCCCCCGCAAATATTTTCTTCCTACTAGGCAGCCAAGTGGATCTTACCAGCGGAGAAATTAATTCCTGCATCCATGCATACTAATGTAGACCCCTCCAAGAATGGAGGCACATTTCTGCTCCAATTGGATCCATCTTAGCCATTCAGAGAAAATCATTTGGCAGTTGTAATTTCTTTAGGCAAATTGTACCGACTCATAGTTCCATTCGTGGCCAGCTGCTTCATATTTTGTTTTACTCAGATTCATGGATTAATTTGACGTGAATCACATTGTATTTGCCACATTACTATGAGCGTCATCTGAGTAAATCGAATTACTTGGTTCCTTAAATTATTAAAAAAGCACTATTGGTAAATGTATAGGCTCGTCTAGGTGGTCTAGACATAGGTTTCTGTCATTTACCTCCTGAATAACATCGAATATTTTTATCCAACTAACCGTTCCGGAATCGGAATAATTAGTCTTCCTTAGCTTCCCAGTCTATTACGATTTTGTCTTCGTTTTTACTGTTGCGTTGTTAGAGCAAAGTCGCTGTGATTACAAACCGTCTGTAATCATGTTACCTAGTTTTCGATCACCCCGGCCTGGTGTTTTGTCCGCTGTTCTACTACATTGGATGCTAAATCTCATCCTTCCTCCCAGCTCTCCACTTTATGCCAATTTGTTAAATGGTTTTTAAATCCTAACTGCCAACTTCACGCAGTCCTAGTTTAATCATTGCTTTGTTCTTGGTTCGAAGCTTTCATCTACAAATAGAACAAGTTCATTGCTCGTATTTCGCTGATTCAAATGGTTATCATAGTTTTGTTGGATCTGAACCGTCGGCTGGTTGCGTTTTTCGATATGACCTCAACACACAGCCCCTTATTACTTTCCTGCTGTCAGCCATCTTGCTCAGGCCTGTTTCGTGTAAAATGACGTTTTTCTACGTCATCGGGACCACGCGCAAACGTATTTTTAATAAACAAATTCTGTGATGGTGTATTCAGTGCTTAAATAAGTTTATTTTTGTCAGGTTGACCCTACGGATGGGGTTACAAATTGTACTGAATTATTTCGCCGAATTCCCAAACCGTGTTGGCGCGCGTTCCTTTTCTACTGGTCTAGACAAAACGCAACATGCAAACGGTCGAACCAGTTCTTTTTATCCCTTGCAGACTCTCTCAAGCCTTTCGAACTGACCATGTTTTATATACCTGACCTTTGAACCTATGCGTGCCTTTTCGATAGTCGGATTTGTTGGACTTTTTCCTGTCGATTACTTAAAATGCATTCTCTATGTTGATATTTTATTTACTCACCTCACCTATTGCTTTTCGTACAGCGAATTCAGTTAACAATGTATGTGTATCTGTGTGCATGCGAGATGGAGAGAGGGAGGGAGAAATACTCAAAAGAAACTTTTTCTCTTTTCCAAGACCTTCTCGATAATCCTTTGAACCCGGAAACGGGGTCTCTCTACGGAGATGGAGGCGAACCCTCCATTCGGCGAATGATTCGGCACTTCCTCGACTGCTACTACCAACAAAGTAATTTTGCGTTTTGCAGCTTTTTATCGTTAATTCCTTACTTTGCTCTACTTGCCTCTAGGCTTAGTCTTGTGTGTACACGCGTATATGCTTCGTTTTCAGCGTCTATTAAAAGTCCTTACTCGTCATGACCACATTCTTGCGCATTGAACTGGTAGTTTTCTGGATTCGGGTTGTGGCCGTTGATGATTCCAGTCCCTAGGTGATTTGGATGCCCATGAGAGTGAGTGCCCGGATTCTGAACGCGGTTCGGTAACCTCAAGACCCCCACTTGACCAATCTGGACTAGTTACTGGCCGCATTGCTTAATTCCAAAGTACCAGGAATTGTCCACAGTTGTGTAAACCCTATTTTACAGTCCGCGATTAGTAGGCGTTTCGAAAATTGGTCTCTTGTTTTATTCGCGTCTCGTAACACTTCTGGCTTCTGAGGTCTGCAAAGTGGGTATTGACTGATCCAAAATGCACGCCTCGTACGAATGCCTACTTTCTACTCTTAGTAGATATTTTGGAGCAGCGTAGCAATCCTGCGCCGTTGCACAATTCGTCGTAAACCACTTGAAGAAACCCACATGTTTCACCTGTTCCAGTCTCTAGAATGGTCATTTTGTAGCAGATTCAACGACCTAACTATAACTGCCGTGCTTGAAGAGGGCTCAATTTGTGTTCCGCTATAACCAGGAAACTTGTTTTCTGTCGACTTTTTTGCGCCAATTTTAACGCATTTTTGCAAGATGGACACATCGGTCAAAGTACTAGCGGAATTGCTCCTTGGCTAGGTGGTTCAACTGCCATTCGACTACGTAATTACCAGCAGTTCAAATCGTGGGTCGAACTTGGTCACGGCGGGGAATCGGAGTCCAGCTTGGGGTCGCTTTTCGACGATCTTTGAAGTTCACGAATTTGTCGCTGAGGCACTCTGGTTACGGGGTTGATGTCGAAATTCTCTTTCAGGTGAAAAAAAAATGCAGGAAAACATGATCATATTAGGTGACTTTTGGTGCCTGACTTTTCTCTAGGTATAAAGTCTGGGCTGTTTCTGGGTCATTCCGAAACTGAAGCTTACCTCTATTCGCAGTTTTTGTGAAAATTGAAGTTTCGTCCTAAAAACATTGACGATCACCCTCTTAGGCCATTTTGGATTCACTTGACTGCTTTGTGATTCAGTGATTTAAGGGGCCAACTTCTAGTCCTACGTCTAAACTGTCATGGTTTTGGTAGGGTTTTTGAAGGTAATTATTATCTTCATTATCAAGGAAACCTTTGTGACTGCAGGCGATGTGACTTTTCGTTGGTTTTTAAATAAACTCCCTTAAAATTGCCTTTTCGAATTGTCGAATTTGGTGTTGGCATTATGAAACGGTGACGAAAGAGGCGTAAATTTAGCCAATGTCTTTTCCCCGAGTGCGTCTTGTTTTGACACCAAGCTGTAAGGTGCATGGCATCGTGATTGGCCCGTGTTCACTGCTGACGCAGATTACCTCTGTGCGTTTATTGGCTGTTTTCATACGCAACCAGTAACGCACCTCGCTTGCTCTGTATTTAACCGGAATACCGAAAGCCTATAGCATTTCGTGGAAGTGTATAAAAGTGCAAAGCCCGGTGGCATATATATCTACGGTCTTCAAAATGCACCCGACGGATGCTCGCCCACCTGGTTCAGCGGATTCGCACCGTGATCGCAGCACTCCGCAAGAGATTGCATCACCGACGAGACCCAATTCTTCGAACTGGTCTGTACTCAAGAAAGTGGATTCCACGTCGGAAACCGATTGTTGCAGTTCTCCAGACTCAGCCGTTGTTACCGGAAGTGAGTCCCTTGGGAGTTCTGACAGCGTCGATTCGTTGGATATCATAAAAGCAGAAAGTCCCTCAACCAAACGTAATGTCCCCTCCAAACACCGGAGTAATCGTCGCTATCGCCGATGGTGCCAAATGAGACCGGATTTATCGAATTCGAGCTCGTCACCTGGATCGTCGGCTCTTACCGATAATAAGAGTCTCGACGATAGTACAAAAAACGCTAAGCAGCATTCGCCAATACCCACAGCTGTCGTGAGGAACACACTCGAGTGTCCTGTGGTTTTTCCATCTTGGTCTTGTCTACCAGGAAACGCATCTCCACCGTGCGCCCCATATTTCCCCACATTGCCTCACTGGGTTCACCTGAACTGGGTACCACATCTAATGCCAAGTAATGGTGTGCCTCTTCAGAATCCCCTTGGGAGCGTGATGGTTGATCTTACGGGTCGCGATGTCGCGTACTCCGTCGAGCGTTTGCCTCCTGTACCCCAGAGCATACTTAAAAATCCTTATGAAAAAATATCAGTTTCCCCATCCTACCCGGAGGCTGATCAGTTCCGTGGAGCATTTGCTCAACCATTCTCGCCACCTCCGGCGTCCTCATCGGAGTCTGGCGCAGAGAGTACGCAAAGTCGTTCAGAGATCAATAACATAGTATCTACCCCCACTTGGCACATACCTCCCTTTCCATCGGTGTACATACCCCCTCCCCTCCGAATTCCCCGGGCTCTAGACCACTGCAAGTCACTCAAAACCTGTGCAGTGCCTTTTAGCGAGTTCTCTCATTGTAAGCTAGCTCCTGTCTGGTACTTTTGGGTGTAGTGGAATTTCAGCGCTTACGCTATTCACGTTGTCTTTTTGTAGACTTCAATTCCTCCCCACCTCGACGGCAGTGGCGACAATTGGGGAGTCCTTCGAAGAATGGCTGTAAGTGGTTCTGCGTTTTTATGCATCGCCAGGTCCCTCTCTACCCTATTCTCGCTCTAGATTGAGTTATGGAAATAGCCTGGGTAGTCTGTACTGTGCATCGATCGGAAGGCATGAGCGCGCGCTCAAGTTGTAACCAATGCTCAACGCGTCCAGGCCAGCTCCCCTTGTTCACCTGCCCTTGTCGTGTACGCGCGTTTGGCGATGTACACGCGAGCCAGGCTTTTTCGTGGTCTCACCGACTCCCCGCGCGCCCTGGATCGAGTGAATGCATGCACGTCCTCATCCACCTAACCACGATCATCGTTATGGTTGTGTTTGTTTTGTTTCGAATTAGGCCTTCTAGTGATTACCTTGTACGTCTTTTGTTGGCCGTCTCGAGTCTCGTCTCTAGCAAGACTGCTTGTGGCATGGGGCCTTAGCTTTTAGGTTATCAGGGTAATTACTTGTTGAGGTGTGTTTAACGTGTTTTTTTGCTTTCTCTAATGTGGTGCAGATCGACTCACTTTAATGTGCTACAACGTGCTGAGCTCCAACTACGCTACCTACTCCCAGTACCCGTACTGCCCCACTTGGGCAATTGACTGGGAGTATCGACGCCGTGGAATCTTGGAAGAACTTCGACTCTACGCACCCAATATCATCTGCCTTCAAGAGATCGACACCGATCAGTTCGAGACTGTCTTCGTGCCGGAACTGGCTAAAAACAATTACGAGGGTATTTTTCTGGCCAAATCACGCTCCCGGACAATGGAGCCTGCATCGGCACGGAAGGTGGACGGTTGTGCCATTTTCTGGCTATCCGAAAAGTTCACCAAAGTGACCGAATTCCGCTATGAATTTATGCTGTCGTGCTCAAATGTGAGCGAACACCCCTCCCCGCTGCTCCTGAACCGTGTTATGACCCGTGACAATGTTGCTATCGGTGTCGTTCTGGAAATCAAGGCTCCCTCGCGTATGTCAATTCTCTCGAGGTTTTCGATTATTTAAAACAGTCAAGTTTTGTAACATTCAAATTATTTCTGGTTTTAACATTGACTAAGTGCAGTAGCGTAATTGTACATGCAAAAGGCGAGCGACGCATCGCACGTTCTAAAAAGCAATGCAGCCCCATCTTAGCCTGGTCCATGTATTATTTTCGATGTGTCGCTAGCTGTTTTGGCGAATGGGGTGGTGCGCGCCGATGAAGGCGACGCGAAGGTCGTGCTGCTCGTGCCCCCCTCACGTGGCCGCAGCGCACGCGCGGTTACTACTGGCCTTGCCACCCAAATCGTTGGCCAAACTGCCTGCAGCAATGCTAACCTACTACTCTAGGTGGTAAACTTCACCATCAAAAACGCTGTTTTTGCGTCTTTTGGGACCAAACTGCAGTGCGTCAGCAAAATCTGTACAAACTTACTCAAGCTACCGTTTCTTGTAATGACCTGTCTTTACTTCTTGGGAGATGATTTAATTTTCCAATAAGTTTACTCTTAGCAGCCTCTTGTTCAATGAGTAAACTGTAATTGGTGTAAAGAGCTTGTTAAGTTATGTCTTCATAAAATGACATATGCAAAGGCTTCGGGAAGTGCTGAAACCCAAGATTACTGTCATTGTTATCATTAACTTTCACGTTCCGCGTTATTTTTGTTCTAGACGTCCAGTTTAGTAGCGCCCACTTCTACCAAGAATACTCATCCACTTAAGTCGGTGAATGATATATCTTTGTTCTCCGTTGTAGCTGGCAATAGTCGAAGATTTTGCGTCTCCACAGGCCACATCCACTGGGATCCAGAGCATTCGGACGTGAAATTGATTCAGACAATCATATGGACCGCGGAGTTGTGGTCTCATCTGGATAAGCTTTGTGGAGACAGTGGAAAACCAGGCTCTGGCGCCTCTCGGATGCCCGTGGTGCTTTGTGGTGACCTCAATTCCCTGCCCACATCGGGTGTGGTCGAGTTTCTCTCCAAGGGCTGCGTGCCCACGTCCCACGTAGAATTCCTCAACTTTGGTTTCAGCTACCAGTTCGAGGACTGGAAGATGCTCGAGAAATGGGCTGTTGACGGCGACATTTTGCGCCACCGTTTTAACTTTGATCGTGCCTACAAGGGTGGAATTGCTGATGGCATGAAAATCACTAATTTGACGTGGGTCTTTTTATTTACTTGCTCAGTTTTTGTTATACGAGAATTGTGTGTGGGTGGGGATCAAAAATCAGCCTTTGAGTCTTTAGCCAAACTGTTGTATCTAGTAGCCTCAGCTTTCTCGTGTGTTAGTCAATTTTAGATAGATAATTTTTTGCTGTACGAATTAAACTGTGTATGCACGAGAATGCAGCATGGTCTCCTACGAATATTAAAAGCAGTACCTGTTACATTGTTCGTCGTTTGTGTTAATTCTCATTCGGTGTCGTGTTGTCAAATCACGATATGTTTGAAATCCAAACATGTCTGTTTTTATTATATCTACTCTTTTTTGTACTTTTCAGGTATGATTTCAAGGGGATGATCGACTACATATTTTTCACAAGACACCATTTCCGCTTGCTGAGAAGTCTTGACCAGATTCCCGAGTCTTGGTTCATGGAAGAGCGAATTTTGGGCTGCCCCCACATCCACGTTCCCTCCGATCATTTCTCGCTACTAGTGGAGCTGGATTTGCTGACTCAGCCTGCTCGCGGATTGGCCATTTCCGACCCTTCTGACGCGACAGGCCTTGACAACACCACCACAGTCTCCGCTCCTGCCCCCTCTGTGACGAACAGCCCCAAACCAAAGGGATCCGCCGTGCAGAGACCGAAACAAGGCAGGCGCTAGGGGAGCGTAGGAAACTAGGATCAATAAAGCAATGAAGATCTTCAGGTAAATGCGCTGCACGTGTACATATTGACTAACTTATAGACACCTGACTCTATCCTTCCACCCACCCCGTCCCCCCTTGTGTCAATTGCCCAAGGCAGCAGTCACGATCCATCCGTCTTTTAGCACACGTGCGTCCACGCGCGTCCGCTCGCACACTCATACCCATTGTTCCTCATTCTCAATTATTTTGTGTACCCTACAAGTATAAGTTTGTTTTTATTCAAACTCCTCCGCCCACCACTGTCGCGTCGTTCTAACTCACTGCCACCATCAACTACGCGCGCGCGCATGCGTCGGGTGTTGTCTTTCTGTTGTCTTTCCCGAACTCAGCTCACCGTTCTTTTATCCTCCCTGCTCTCTTTCTCGCTGTAGCAATCACTTTCTACCACTTGCGTGTGTAGAGCCTTTTCGCCCCTGCGTCTGCTTTCCACGTCCCATTCTCACTCTCACATCCTCAAGCGTGTGGGACCCTCCCCCCGTCCTCTTCCCCATCCGCAACGCCGTAGTTGCCGCTCGTTCTGGCTGCCCATTATATTCTTCACATCAGCAACAGCAACACAGCTATGTAATAAAATCCGCAGATGGCGCTCGTTTTTCAGGCTCAAGCATCCTTTCTTCAGTAATCCCATTGTTTCGGTCGGGCATACAAGAACAGGTGTGGCCGCGCGTCGTCCTACTCTTGTTGTTCGCGTCAATTTGTCTGATTTGTGCCATTAAAGTTGTAATTTCGTGCGTTGGGGATTTGAAAGCTGGAAGCAGAGTTGATGGTGACGGGCAATCGGTGTGTTCTGCGAAGTCCCGAGTAAGCTCACCACATCGTACTCAGACGTAAAGACAGTAATATATATGCTAAAAGGCAATTTGAAAGATAACAAATCATGATCTCTCGTTTCCAAAACATATTATGCTCAACGGGGAAGGGCCATATGCCAGGAAAGAAAGTACGCCTCGAAAATTTCCCCTTTAAGCTCGTGGTGATTTCCTGCATGTCTCACTTGCTCATCGTGGCAATTGGGCCGTTCTTTGATAAAACTAAGACACGTGTCTATCAGCTTCGAAGTGTAGAACTGCTTCTGCGAAATTCCTCACTTTGAACACCCATCTGAAGATGTCACCTTACTCAGGTCCTTTATGTTGAATGGGAGACTCGCAGTGCGTATTTGTCCCAGTCAAAATTAAATAACACGGAACACTATCCTCCACCTACCACCAGCGTGGACGTCCGTTGAGGTTGTAAACTTTTGCTGGTGGTAACTGCTTCGAATCCCGTGGTGTTGAGCTATATGGCGTTCGTTTTCATATGTATATGATGAGAGTAGTGAGTTCCGTATGTATAGCATTATTTGCAATTAAAAATTTTCAGACATTTAAGCTTATTAACATTTTGATTCTTAAACCACCCAGCGAGTATCACAGTCTTAGTCCGTGTGAACGATTTTGCGAGCTATGTTGAGGTTTTCGGCAAATGGATCCACCACCATGGCTTAGTCTGGCTAATTTGCTGCGCATGTCCGCCACAGACCATAAACGCTTCACTAGTCTGCATATTTGGCGTCCTCCCTCCCTCTCCCACCCAACAGAGGGTCTGTTTGCCACGGCCATCTGAGAGATGACATCCTAATAGTTGCAGAGCGGTGGCCGTCCTGTGTTGTTTGTTTTGTTCCATTACAAAAAAGCGGATCAACCTAAAAGTACGCGGTATCACTAACATCACAGCAACAGAAGACGCGACTGCGTGTTGAAATCGGCCAGATTTACAATTCGAGCAAATTTTGGAGTCAATTTCGGATTTCGTGCGCGTCTCCAACTCTCGCTTTTTGCGGGTTGAGGTTGCAGAGTAATTACCTTTAACTTTTGCACAATTATTAAGGTGAGGCTAGATTCGCTGACGCGAGTTCGTGCTTCCAATATTGTGTTTGATCAGTGTGTCTGTTAACTCGGTTATTTCCAGGAGCCTCGAATCTTGCAGTGGGGGTGTTCGGAGCATTGAAAACCCCAGCCAGCCTGGCCGCTTCTAGGTTAGCACAACCTTGCAGCGTTTTGAATTAAATAACGGCGAAAGCGTCGGGTCGTCTGCCTGGGTGTGATAAGCTCCTGCGACAGGTTTTACAGTGAGCGAGTTGCTGATTAAGTTGTGTTCCTCCGTAGAAACTGAGGGCGTGTTTTGTGCCAATGGTAATGGGTGACTGATCACCAAATCTTGGTCTTGTGTCGATTTTCTAGTGCGTTGCTTCGATTTGGCAAGATTGCGTTCAAATCAGTACCACAATTTGTGTACGTATTCATCGGTCCATTGTTAGAAAATGAATGGGTTTTCATGTGGTCCAAATTTTCACACTTCCCAAGTTATCAACTGCCCGCCTATTTTGTGGGTTTTGTCGCTGCAAAGTGCTTGCCGCCCCAAACACTTTTCCATGAAGTCAGTCACCGTTTCTTCATCGCTAATGGCAATATCTGAGTTGAGATCCTGGTGACTATCGGTGCGCTTACGTGAGATGTGCTCACGATAGTTCTATTTTAACACTCACCTAGTGGCTTTCGTCCATTGATCTGGCAGTCAGTCGTCCATAACATTCACACACAAAAGGCATTGCATAAAATAGCCCAGACAGTCAACTCTTGCCCACCACGATGATGGAGATACAGCCGTTCCATGGTCGCGTTGTGGACAATCGCCATGATCGGATTCTTAGAAGGCTCCACTGGGCCTTCGGGAGTGTGGCCCTCAAGTGTCAGCTCACGTGTACTTGTTTCGCTTCCTACTCGCTCACACCTTCCGGGAAACGATGACGCCCGCCAGTAGTGGCGAGTATTGCTGACTAGCCTACCACCATTTTCTCTTCGCTGTGCGTCCGACCTTCGCGTTGACACGCCTGTAGTTCCGCCAACTTCGTCCAAAAGCGGTCTCCAACTCACTTTGTGTTTTCCTCGACAGCGGACACCCCAACCGTCTGGACATTTGGCGTCAGGATTTATTTGGCTTTTTTGGGAGAATACCAGACTCGGCAGCCATAATTAGTGCCAAATACTTGACTAATGGTCGCCCAGCCTGTCGTGGAGTACTTCGCCTTTCCCACTCGATTCTCAACGGGCAAACTTATACTTCAAAGGGTTTTGGAGCTTAGGATGGGGTGTTAGTCAAGTAGTGGTTGGCCATCATCACTCCCGTGGTAAATGTGTGGTAAATACGAATTTCTGGAGCCGAAATCTACCAATCAACTTCGTCGTGTCTTGGGCGTGGCTTGCTTCAACCATTGAGCCATCTTCAACCCAGCCCATTTATCGTCGTGTTTAACCATTCTCCTCAAGGGCCACTCTAAAAATGAACATAACGAACGAAGTTTGGAAGTCTTTTACAGCTGATAAGGAAGCTCTGGTAGACGCCAGCACTCGTTGATCAATGATCGGATGTCACTTAGCCCCTGTAAAACCGACGCCTCGCTTTTCGCAGTGGACTATCAACGGGGTAGCGCAGCTCTTAGCCTGTTTCTCAGCAAAGTTTGATTTGCCTAAATTCGGTGCATCGTTGCCTTCGTCCGTGAAATCCTGGCAATCTGACACTTCAGATACCACAAATCGCCGATTTTCGCCTATTTACTGTAGTGCCAACCGTTTCGAATTGAGATCATATCCTACAATTCTAAGATAACATCCGCCATGTCAAAAACACGGAGTTCGCTATGTCGGATGTACTCGTTCGCACATCACCAAGTATCAGTTTGACTGATAGAATGACTAGAAGTAAGGTCATAGACTCAGCTGCCTCCTGTCCTAACGCACAGGCCACATGCACTGTTATAAACCACGATAATAGTGCACGTTGGGTTGGAGCTCATTCAAGGTGGCTTTGTGGTCGCCTGGTTTACCTGACCCTAATGAAATACAATCGTTAGCGGTTCGGACCAAGTGATTCGTCTAACGGGACGAGAATTTGGGGTGTGGTGGCATTTGCTGCAGGCGAATTCCCAGGAGGCCATATCAGACCGGTCAGTTGTGGTAAGAGTTGGGGCGTGAAAAAACCTACGATGCACACATGACCGTTTAGACACGAAAGACTAAATATGAGAACTTGAATTGCAAATTGTAGTCAAAACACAAGGAAAAGTTGAATTGGTAACAAAGATTTCGATTAACTTCGAGAGTGTAGGGCAACTTTGTCGCTTCGATGATCAAGTCTGCCGTACGTGCAGATCTGTTTATCGAATGGAATAGTTGAGATCGATGCTTGTTCATTTTAAAATCACCAATTTGTTCTGGCACGATGTCGAAAGACCGTAAGCGGTGGAGTCGCGATCCTCTGTGGGGTTGCCAGTTCCTTCGCGTGGGGCATGAGTTATTGGGGTCGCAGTAATGACGTCATCTGAGGACGAAGCCAACTGAAGGTGTCTGTAATGGAAACGCTTGTAAAATGCTAGAGGCTTTGTTGTCCTGTGGTAATGCCCATTGGAAGAGCGAAATCAAGCCCTTTGCTTCATTATGATTGATTCCGTACTGCAATCTTGCAGCACTTTTTATGGTGCAGCCTGAACTTGTACTTGGAATACAGTTGCCGCGGTCGAAGGCGGTAGTTTAGTTTCGAGGTTGGTTGACGAAGTAAGATAAGGACAAAATCCTCATTAAACCTTCTAAAAGAGGCTTAGTTCTTAAATTTTCAAATATAGTTTTTGCGGATTAAATTCCCGTAGAATAGCGGATTCAAGCAGCAACACACTGGTGTGATGTGTGTAAACTAACATCCAATATATTGGATAACACAATATTTCTTCAGAAATTACTTATAAACTGATGCATAATTTCTTCTCAGGGACAAGCCAGATTTAAAACTAACCTTTGTATGAACTAAAGTGTAGAAAACAAGCCTGGTTCCGTTACATCAATACCAACAGCGCCCTAAATTGTCGGCTTTAGAAAAGTGAGTATTTTGTAGAGATATTCGATAATTTGCATGTACTTTA